CAATGAACCATGAAAACGAGACCAAGGTCAGATGAACCATGCCAGACAGACATGTACACCTTACAATAAATCTATGCATTAAATACAGTTGACCTATTGCGTATAGTATCTAAGAAACAAACTTCATCATGAAATTTTAACATTGACCAATGAACCATGAGAACGAGACCAAGGTCAGATGAACCATGCCAGACAGACACGTACACCTTACAATCAATCCATACACCAAATATAGTAGACCTATTGCTTATAGTATCTGATATATGGACTTGACCACGAAAACTTAACCTTGTCCACTGATCCATGAAATGGGGTCGAGGTCAGATTAAAACTGTATGACAGACATGAGGACCTTGCAAGGTACGCACGTACTAAATATAGTTATCCTATTACTCATAATAAGAGAGAAATTAACATTACAAAAAATCTTAACTTTTTTTTCAAGTAGTCACTGAACCATGAAAATGAGGTTAATTAAGGACAATGGACATATGACAGACGGAAATTTCATAGCATAAGGCATCTATATACAAAGTATGAAGCATCCAGGTCTTCCACCTTCTAAAATGAAAAGCTTTTAAGAAGTTTGTTAACGCCGCCGCCGCCGCCGCCGCCGCCGCCGGATCACTATCCCTATGTCGAGCTTTCTGCGACAGAAATCGCAGGCTCGACAAAAAACGGATTCGAATGTGATTTGATTGCAGTTTTTTTTGTATTCATTTATTTTGATCACTTTACAGATTTTCCTTGTAGTCATTCAACAAATTAGAAAAAATTGGGTCAACAACGGTCTTAAACTTAATCGATCACTACTATGAAACAATGCAATTTTATGATAATAATATTGATAATAATTAAAAACCAATTGTTCAGAGAACAATTGAAGGTCTTTCCACCCATAAAGATCTACTTTAATATAGAACTATTACAATTCGGTTTAAAATATCATATCCAGCGTCAAATGATAGCTTACTGTACACTGATTCCAAAAATATATGGTTTCTATACATTTTTTTTCTAAATAAGTGAGATAAATTGTTACTTCCGGTTTGAAAAATGTCACTTCTGGGTTTTTTTTATAGTTTACTTGATACTGATTCCAAAAATATATGGTTTAATATACTTTTACATTAAATAAGTACAAAAAATAGTTACTTCCGGTTTACACATGGTCACTTCCGGTTGGCTTATCCATGATCAAGTGGCTTGCAACGTAATGCAAAAAGTCCCATGGCTTTATCATGTATACATATGAGGTAAATGCAAAGGTCAATATCTAGAACGTCAAATTTACCTTTGACCTTGAGCTCAATTTCAAGTTCATAAACCAAGGGCTTCAAATCAAAAGACTATAGGTCTTAATTATATATGGTTAATGAGTTATATCACTATATGCCTAATTTTTAATATAAGAGGGGAGAAAACTGAAATTTAATGTTAGTGTACCCTTTTAACCAAAATTTATGTGTTACGACATGTCGCAACTTACAATTTAGTAAAAATATGTTGTCGATATCTTATACGGTTTTTGAAAAGAATTGAAGATAAGCCAAAATTTAAAATATGACCTCGACCTCCGACCTTGACCTTATTTTCTTTTTTTTTTGGACCAAGGACCTGAAATCAAAAGATCCTAGGTCTCTATCACTTATGGTTTACGAGATAGAAATGCATATCACTTATATCAAATGCAAAAGGGGAAATAACTCTCATATGGATTGTTCGTATGGCTTCGGTCAAAATTGGACAAATCATGCGAAGGATATAACGAGCAATTTTATAAAACAAATTTGTCGCTTTCTCATACGGTTACGGAGGAGATGCAGTCACAAGGAAAATAGTGTTCGGGAAGTTAAGTCCTTCAAGAAAAGTATTCGGTTACGCAGGATAAATTTCAAAGGCGCATAAACTGTTCGATATCATATACCAAACATCTAAGCGACATCTTTCGAAACAAAATTTATACGCAAGAAATAAAAGTGGCGGAAGAAGAAAAAAAAATAATAATCAGAACAAATACAATAGGTCTTTCCACCGAAAAGTGGAAAGACCTAATAATGTTGTTTTGCTGGATCCTCCTCGGTGTATTGCGGAATAAATTGTTATCATTTTATTGTTCAAAAATCATCTCAGCATTATTAAACAAACCCATACAGGTAGTTTTAATGAATGATAAGCTGTGCTTTTTGAGATGGTCTCCACAATCGCCTGTAGTGGGATTGGTATTTAACATCAGCGTCAAAATCGTATTGACTTTTCTAACACGTCTAAATATACAGTCCTTTTACAGTGGAAGTCGACATTTTTACCCTTTATCCCGAACCACTTTATATATGCATGAAAAATTTGCCACTGGAAGTTAACCAAACAGCTCACCAGTCCGTTCAAGTAAATTTAGTAAAGATAGAAACGGCCCGAGTGTGAATGACATTCAGGGGGGATTGACTCTTAGACTTCTTCTTTACATTAAGAATAAGCTGGGAAAAGAAACATTTTAAGAGATTCTGAAATCATACAAAATTCAAATCCTTGGTCAAATTAAAATTTGTAATAGAAGATATTTTAAAATTCGGAACCATAAAACAGTTTCAATAATAATACTTAACTTACGTATGAAAAGTTTATCGACAAATTACAAACGAAAAATGTAACACGTTAAAAATCCATTACTGCTGAATTCGTTTTTCATGACCAGGAAATACATATTATGTTTTCAAATTTATTATACTACAAATGTATATTGTACTATAAGACGCCGAAGGTGACTTGTTACACCCTTTGAACTAGACGTGTCGCATTGTCATTCATTTAGATAGTTTGCACCTATTATTCAAATGTCTAATTCGATTTTTCACCTGTTACAAAAACAGGATACGTCATTTATTACATTTACGTACAATAACATATTTGATAAAGTTGTGTCGTCAAAATCGTTGACTTTCTTTCCTTCATTTTTCCCACTTTAGCAATGACGGAGCTTGATACTTATAACTTTAATGCACAGCAAAAAAAAATAGTTATATTTAAATTTCTCGATTCTTTTATAACTAGTACCGACTACGAGGATGAAATGTGGTACAGAAATATGAATACCGGGATATTTTCAGTCCGTTAAAAAAATCCATACGGAAGGGGGTATTCCATTGTGCTGTGCGCAATATATATTCAGGTCGAGTCCGGTTGGAAGGGGCTTTAAATGTAATGCCTCATGTAGACAGAATGTCACGGTTTCTTACCCTTTGAAGAACCAATACAACATGGTAGGTTGCCTGTTTTCCCTTCCCAGCATACAACCTGTTTAAGGTGCCAAACTACCAATTCAAATACCTATATATATTGCGGTATAACATTTCTTCCTCAAGTTTATTGTCTTCTGTTTAGTAATAATTTGATAATAAGATCTGTTTTGTTACATCTTGTGATCCGTTTATTTGGCAATCGCCAATGGCAGTCAGCAGGTTTTTAAGAACATCAGTTGTTCGACCTGCTAGTTAAATGTGTTTTGTTAAAATATACTTTTTCATTCATTTAGTCTTTTTGAAAATGTTGTTTGTGCTGTATTTGGACCCCTATACATATATATATATATATATATATACATATATATATATATATATATATATATAGAAGTCTATAAAAAAGACCAACCAGCAAATTTAATATGTACCGGTCGTCTAGGATAGACGATACTGCGCAGATAAGGACAAAATTATATAAGTCTGAAGATTTGCACAACGGTACTAATATAAGATGGTAATATACGAAGCTGATGTTATAAAATCGTTTTGAAAATGTTGTTTGTGCTGTATTTGGACCCCTATACATATATATATATATATATATACATATATATATATATATATTTATATATAGAAGTCTATAAAAAAGACCAACCAGCAAATTTAATATGTACCGGTCGTCTAGGATAGACGATACTGCGCAGATAAGGACAAAATTATATAAGTCTGAAGATTTGCACAACGGTACTAATATAAGATGGTAATATACGAAGCTGATGTTATAAAATCGTTTTGACAAATATTTCGGGTTAACAAATAGCCTTCGTCAGTGTCAGTAATTTTAACAATACTGATTGTTTGTGTAAAATAGCCCAGTAATACAGGTAAGTTTTGGTCTATTGATTTAATCCAAAATCTTGAACATCATAATATAAAACAAAACTCGATACTCAAATATACGTGACTGTGTATATTTACATCCCAAAACGAGTGAAAAATAAAACTGCTAGTATTTCTTATTGATGCCGTTTGGATGATGTACATTTAGTTCCTTTATCCAAAAACTTTCCCGAACCTGTCGTTGGGCATCACTCCAGCGGATGTTCTGTTCAATCACTAGGATTTTCATGCGGTTAAAGTCATCAAATTGTTATCCAATTGTCTGAAATGCTGAGAAACTGGGAGAAGTGGCTTCTTAGAGGTACCACTCCTATGGCCATTGAGGCGTTTGTGGAAAGGCTGCTTTGACTCTAAGATTTCAACTCACTCAGGCAAAGTTGACATTAAAAGTAATGTCCTTTTCTCGTTTTGGTCATACAACTTCTAACGTTTCTACGTATTTACATATCCCTGGCTCGATAAAGGATGATACACAAAAGAGTCCCGGATGCACAAAGTTCATAAAGTGTTATTTACATTTACAACCTGATACAATGTTACTGTTGATATGTCCTCATTTTTAACCTTTTTAAGAATGAAAGTTATGCCACAAGTAAGAAAAAAATAAATTAAAACAGCACTTTATAAATTCCATGCGTCCGAAGCGATTATCTCGATTTACCTACAACAGGAACGCCCGAAGCCGAATATTTGAAAGCCAAGGATGTATAAGGACCGAAACAGTTGAAGAGCTAAATGACCATTAAGAACATACCAAAAAAGGCAAAATCCATCTAAGGTTATACCATTCTCTCAATTTGTTTTGCCAATATATCGGTTTGTAAGTACAAATATAGTTAAACAGATAGTTTAATTACTTACCTTTCTGAATAAATCTGTAAATGAACAGATTTTGGCAACAAATCAAACGTCAATAAATTTACAAAAGTCATGTAAGGATTACAAATGAGGTAAAATTACGTAACAGGTAATGAACCATCCACTTCATTTGAACTTTGGTGGATAGTTTTCTCATTGGCAATCATACCACATCTCCTTATTTTTATAATGAGGCCAATAGGGATGATATGTGACTAGCCACGTGATTTCCATGCTTGTGGAGGTACTTGACCTAAAATTGGCTTATATCATATTTATCTAGTACATACTGAAAGAAAACATGCTATCAAGTTATTATGACAGATTTGTTGAAATACTAATGTGCTGGGTCTTTTTCATATCGACATATGGAGTATTGATTTAACTTTTTGATTAACAAATACATAAATTTATAAAGTACACATCTATTTTTTATTTTCTTTTAAGCTTATACAGTTTGACAGTTTAATGATGCATGTTTTAACTAGACATAGCATGCGAAGCGTAACAGTTTAAGACGTATTGTCCTAAGTGACACCTAAAATATGCATTAGATATGCTACATGTATTATAATGATGCAATTTTAATGATTTTAACTACATGTTTGAAAACTATATAGAGCAGATAATATTGAATTTTAAACACACATGTAACCAAAGTAATGCGGTATGGTATACCGTTTCTCAAATACTTCGAAACGACAACTAAACACCATTCAATTAAGTCTTAAGGGAGTTGAAGGAACTATCTGAAAACAAGCTTAAATTTGATTTTTTTTTATTTATTTTCAATTTATATAGTATTTATCAAGTAAATTATATTTTAAATCTACCATACTAACAACTCTTACGACTTCTTTTGACCTCTATGATAAATGTCTAATATTGATTTGAAAATTGAACAAAGAGTTGCTCTTCAACATCATAAATTCGATTGCTACATAACTTTCTCGATCTCAGGCAAATATCTATAATATTGCGCGTTTAAACCTCATATTTAATTTCTACATTAAGACATCATTATAACACTCTTACGACAAAATACATATTCCTGTTTAAATAAACTTCCTGATCGTCTTAAAGATACCTGCATTCGTCTGGAAACTTAAATGCTTTACACGTTTAAGAAGGCAATAGCGTTGAAAAGTATATATAACGGGAGACAGCCTTACGTTGAGAAGTAGTTGCCGTTTGTTGCTGTATATCATATTTGTTTTTCTTTTATTGTTTTGTAAATAAATCAGGCCGTTAGTTTTTTGTTTGAATTGTTGTGCACTTGACATTGTTGGGCCTTTTATAGCTTGATTTACGGTATGGGTTTTGCTCATTGTTGATGCTCATTGTTGAAGCCCCGTACGGTGACCTATAGTTACGAACTTCTACGTCATTTGTATTCTCGTGGAGAATTGTCTAATTAGCAATCATACTAAATCTACTAATTTTTATACCTGTAACACACCAATCAAAAGAATACGGAAGAAAAGGGTGTTTTACTAAACTTTTCATGTTTTAGACAAACAATTTAAAAAGTAAAATATACAGATTGTTTCAACTTTGGTTAGTTCCTTTCTTTAAGCTTAAAACTTTGAATTATATGTCATATTTAAAGCTGAAAAGCATCCAGACTTTATATTCAGTATAGAAATAAACTTGTTTGTTTACAAAATTTACGTGATGTTGATATTTAACGGCGTTTGTCTCACAATGAGTGTCATGGTGGGTCACAATTATTTGCAAAGGTGCACTACAGAGGTGCAATCATCTTTTCATACTTTTGGTCATCGTTTTTTGGATTTTGTAGTTGAAATGATACATGATACACAGAGAGCAAAACAAAACAAACAACTCATGAAAAAAAAACGACACGTTATAAATGTTATTCGTCCGAAGTGCTTTTCTGGATTTACCTTCATCAGAAACGCTCATAACCGAATATTTGAAAGCCAAGGATTTATAAAAAACCGAAACAGTTGAAGAGCTTTATTACCAAAAAGGAAGGTATTTCAGAAATGCTGACCAAAAGAGTAGCCTTGTATAAAGAAATATGGTCAGCTAGACTTCTAACTTAAGATCTAACAGTTAGACCCAACTAAATGGAGTGTTTGTTTGGATATATACATACGCAGCCACGTCCAGTCTGCATGGGGGCATTAAATCCGATTTCTTGCGTTTGTTACATTGTCACGTTCTCTCCACGTTAGAAATTCTTACAACTCTTTGAGAGCCCAAAAGGTGTCCGGCTGTAAAACTAAGTTGCAACATTTTCATTTCAATATAATCTTTTTTTCCAGGAGCAGTAAAGTTTTCAATGCATTTATCAACGTCCGCCCACTATGCAAAACTTACTTGTATGATGTATTGTTTAATTTGTTATTGTCCCAAATATGTATGTGTATGTTTACTTGTTTTTGTTAATATGTCTTTTTGATTGAGTTAAGTCATTTAAATTGATATTTTATAGTGTGTCTTTCTATGTTGTAATGTTCCACTAATATTTCAGGTTAGGGTGAAGGTTGGCGCCTGTTAAAACGTTTAAACCCGCTTCATTCGCTTGCACCTGTCCTAAGTCAGAAACCTGCCTTAGTAAGTCTACGTGTCATCGTACGTTCATCGTAATTAAATCGTAGGTTTTACAGCCGTTTCACAAAGCCGTCGTAAGTTAAGATGAGCGTAAATAATACTTAAAATCCTGGCGTAACTTACTACAGCTATACCCAATCGTATCTCGATAGTAGTTTTTTCCGCGAATATGAATTAAACCATATCTAAGATGGCTTTATTCTCGATCAAGATGCCGCAAATGTTAGATAAGAAGAATCTTCAATATTAGAACCACAGTTTCTTCATTTGATCATTTTGAAAATGAAATGGATATTATATCCAGATACAGACTGGATAGACACAGTATCAATGAAATAACATTGGCAATAGAACCATATATAAAACATGATACGAATAGGTCCTGTGCACTTACTCCTGAAACTCAGGTTTTATTAGCTTTGCGCTACTCACTGGTTCTCCGGTTAAGCGCCCATTTTATGACGCTGATTTGTCCCACCGTAACAAAGCAAAACTAACGACTTCGAGTTATATACCCGTAGCTTGTTATACTTATATCTGAGATTTTTATATTTCTTTATTACCTATATTTTTAATTTTATGTTTTATAAATGACGGAATAATCGAAATGTAATCTCCGTGGAATGTAATCTCCGTTTACGTTTTGGTGAAGAGTGCTTTTCTTTCACGTCCGCACTTCTATCGAGTATGGCATGCCAAATAAACATTTTAGATAATAATTACCGATGGCGAATATATAAATTACAGATCATTAACTTTCATTGTAATTCAGACGACATAAGAAGACACCATGTGACAATTTTAATTAGTCAATTGTTTTAGTGTAACAGAGTTGCTTTTTTTCTTAGATCTACAAAAAAACACAAAAAAAAAAAAGAACTGGATGTTTTTATATCAATATTAATGCAAGTAAATAATTTTAACCCGTTTTCAATATTAAAGATCTGAAACTTTTATTATAAATATAAATTTGAAACAGAATTTAATACGATTAAACATTTATGCAAGTAGTCATAAAAATTGCTCTGCCTAATGAGTTTAATAAATCATATTGCACAGGGAGAGAATCTTTTAAATACTTTCTTTCATTAAAAATGAAATTACGACGTCGGCTGAGAGGACATGGTATGTATTGTCCGTTACATTTATTAACAACAACTTGTACAAATATTCTTTTCGAAAATAAAAACAGTTAAAAAGAACAAACAAAACTATCCGTCACAATGATATATGAGGGTCTGGATTAGGGGGAAAAAGGGGGGGTGGGGGTTTTATATTTCTGTATTCTGTAATACTTTTGACCATTTTTCTCTATTCAGTAAGAAATATGCTCATTCTGTAAATTCTTGTGTTCAGATCGTGCATATTGTTGTATCATGATTTTAACATGATATATCTTTCTGTCTGTATCAACGACATATGTATGACGACACTACTTGTGACCCCTCATCCCTGAATCTGTCACTGTACTGCATAAATGATACCATTTATCAATTTTGATTAATATCTGATTAAAACAAAACACGGGGAAAAGCTATTTTAATTTCTTTGTAATAATTTGGATATCTGGAATAATAAGCAGTAGATAAGATGACATTAGGTATATTTGATCATACATGTATTTGGTTTGTAATATGAGGTACTAGTACTGCAATCTAATTAAAGTACCGGTAGTAAATCGTAAAAAGTAGATTTAAGAGATATCTGAAATCTATTAACAACACCTTGTACAAATATTCTTTTCGAAAATAAAAACAGTTAAATAGAACAAACAAATCTATCCATCACAATGATATATTAGGGTCTGGATTAGGGGAAACAAAGGGGGTGGGGGTTTACCTTTCTGTATTCTGTAATTCGTTTGGCCATTTTTCTCTATTCAGTAAGAAATAGGCTTATTCTGTAAATTCTTGTGTTCAGACCGTGCATATGAATATTTCCTGTTGTATCATGATTTTGACATGTCTGTATCAACGACATATAAATATTTGAATCTACATTTTAAATTGATACAAAAAATCAAAATTCTCTGCTCTATAGATTTTCATAAATGGAGTCTAAAATATATCTATGATAAATGCACCGTATCAAATGCATATATGAGAACAACTACTAATAAACTGCTACGCGTCGCATACTTTGTATAGAGACATACATCATTAATCTAAGTTAAAAGACAAATTAAAAAAAAAGGAATTCTAAAAGCTTTCTTTGACAAATTTTATACTAACTTCGTTTTAACAAGTTGAAATTACATTTTCTAAAATAGAGCTAAGAACTGTTTGTAATGTGGTAAATTTAATTCGTTTGAAATTTTTTTCAAATACGCTGTTGAAGATTACTAAGCGCCAATAAAATACAATAATTTTGTATTTTATAAATTGGTGTCTTCGATAATGAAAAATTCGTCATCGAACAGTCTCATTATCATGTCGGTATTCGAAATGACTC